GGGTGGGCAGGCACAGGAAGGGTCCAAGTAGAGGAAACAGAATGGTCAAAGTTTGGTCTCAGGGCTGATTCAACTCTTAAATTCTACAGAACACCCAGCAGGAACTGTATATAGTAGGTGCTCAGTTAATATTTTTGAAAGAGTGAATAAACAGATGAAATGACACCTGCTGAGTTCAGTAAAATCCCTCCTCTAAGGGTGGTGTTTCGTGGGCTGAAACAGAATGTCAAGATGGGTTCGGTGTGCTCGTCTGACTGGTTAGAAGTGAACCTCAATCGGGGGCTCAGGAGGCCCCGATGGCGGGACATCTGCTATCTTAACAGGTAACAGTTAAAATCTGCTGTGCACCTACAATAGGCCAACTATGAGCCCCAGCCAGGGCAGAGAGACCAGGACTCTTGAGGCCTCGGAGAGGGCAGCTGCAGGCCATCTACACAAATGACAGCCCCAAAGTTTCTAAGTACTGTAACTGAATCTGCTGAAGGTATTCTGGAAGCAGGAGGAGGGTTCAGCATCGAGCTGGAGAGACAAAGATGGAGCAGGGGCAGTGTCGGGGAGGAGAGGGACAGTACCCTCAGGAGGCAGTGGGATGCATCCCTACTCAGGCAAGGGGAAGCTGGGAAGATGTTTCCAGCAGAAGGAGCAAACAACAGCTGAATCGCTGCACAGCCGTGAGCCACCACAAGCAGTTTTATGTCACTGGAAGCGAAGAAGGAGGTGCTGAGGCTGAGGAGTGGCAGCCAGGTCACAAGACCTGTTTAGTCAAAATATTTAGACAAGTTTTCTTGCCTGCATTGTGGTGCAAAGGAGACTAAAGCAGGAGTTGGAACCAGCAACTATGACAGTGTTAGAGTAAAAGTGGTGACTATTCACGGGGGTGATTTCATCACTAAACCTCCAAATCAGTTTTGCGTTCCCCGTTTAATCTGGACAGGAAATGAATTAATGCTTTGAGTTGCAAATGTTCAAACTCAGAAGTTACGGACTCCTCCTGAGACAGTGCCTGCTATGAAATGAACAGAGTAAGAGTAAAGAAAAAGCCTCGTTACCTGTGATGTTCTGAATTTAATAACCTTTCTTCTTTCCCAGTTCATGGCTCCCACTGCAAATGTTTCATAATGAATTTGGTTTAAAGAAATCACAGCTGATCAGAAAATGGAATATGAAATGGGTTGTCTATAGGAGCATGTGCTGGACGCTGTTCTAGGACATCTGATGATATTCAAGATGCCTCCCAGCTCTGTCAATCCCAGACAGACTGAAGAAATAGAGTTGCAAGTCCAAAGCATCATTTTACAGGTGTCATTCCTGGAAAATGAAACTCCTGCCAACACTTTTCCTTAACTGCACTGCCTAAGGAGGTACATCTTGAAGACAGACAAGCCACACCACACACCAGACTATTTCCTGTGCAGGAGGGACTCTGCAGAAGGGCTCCATATCCACAGCTCAGAGTTTAAACAGATGTTCTTTTTTAATATACAGGAAATTCAAAGTTCTTCTTCTCTATTTCTTAATGTCTGAATTTCTCTATTTCTAACGTTTCTGCACACTCCCAAACTGTGTGACAAAATCGCATGAGGATGAAATTCTATCCAAATTACCTTGCTTACAATCTCTCCTGTTCTTGATAACTCTGATGGCATTTCAATAGGGGGGACGTGAAACATGCTGTGGAAAGAAATCTAAACACTCACCCACACACCCTTGCCCATCCTGTGGCGCCTGAAAGCCCTGATAACAGAGGCAGCGGAAGGACCCAGCCGTATTGTCACAAAACCCGTGACTGTCACAAACAGTGTTGTTCACACATTCATCAATATCTGCAAAAAAGACATTTAACATCAGACACAAAACACAGACTGACAAACACCAGATAGTAATGGACAGACAGAGGTGCTCGGCACACCTCGATTAGCATGAGATGATCATGTTTACACAGAATGAACTTCTAAAACATTTTACACATCAATAAAATGTTTTGATGAAAATGTCTTCACAGACAAACGCTGGGCTCTGTGAGAAAACGTTTACTTCCCTCAGGAAATGTTTTCGAACAGAAAGAGCTGCTGTAATCGCCACGGTCAGTGTTTTCTACCTGCTTCCAATCCTTTATTTCCAAGGAGAGTATATTCTCCTACCGGAGAAACCCATGGAAGTATTGTCACCTTCCTGGGTCGCGGTCAACGCTCACAGTTCCTTCTGCAGAGATGGCTCACTCAACCCTACAGATAACCTTGGGCAAATCTCAAGAGCATTCCCAGGGACGGAGGAGGGGAGGAGGGAGACAGAGAATCTGATGAGTTCAGCAACATAGCCAGGCAGCCTGACTCGTTCACAAGAGAAGACTTCCTGTCACCAAGTTAAAGCCACTCAAGGTCCTAAATGTCACTGTTGCTCCCACTGGTTGGCCAGTGGCCCACTTGCAAATTCATTGTGTTCTCTATAAACTTGATGATAGTGTTCCTATGCCTTTTCTTCCCCAATAAAAATGTTCTCATAAAAGTGATGTCTCGATTATGAAGTTACGAACAGACTTTCAGACACACTTCTTTATCCTTACGGTGACTAACTGACTTCGCCTTTTTCCTTCCCCTTCCCCTTTTCCTGGTTTACCTCCACACCGCACACTTCCATCTGTCAGGTTCTGTCCTCTCTGACTCTGGATTACACGCTCCCCAAATACAGGCTTTTGGAGAAACAATTAAGAAAATGCAATTACTGCATCCAAACACATGGGAAGGGGTGCCTGGGTGGCTCAGTTGGTTAAGCGACTGCCTTCGGCTCAGGTCATGATCCTGGAGTCCCTGGATCGAGTCCCGCATCGGGCTCCC